ACAGAGCAAAGGGATTTCCTTTTCTTCAAATCCTTGCCAAGACTTGTTATCTCCTGCCTTTTTTTGATTGTTTCTCCTGCCATACAGGTGTTTTTTTGGGTTTTTTTTGTTGTTTTTTTAGTTTCATGTAGTGCCACTTGTTGATTTTTTTCGTTGCTATGCTTTTGGTGTCCCATCCAAAAATTTATTAAGACAAATGTCAAAACATTTTTCCCTAAGTTTTCTTCTAGCTGTTTTATGGATCTAGGTTTTAATTAAACCTTTTAGTCCATTTTGAATTAATTTTTGTGAGTGTTCTAATTTAGGGATACAATTCCATTCTTCATTTGATTATCCAATTTTTTTTAACACCATTTATTGAAGAGACTATCCATTTCCCTTTAGGTATCCTTGATTCTCTTGTTACATATTTGTTGATTCTGTATATGAGAGTGCTTATTTTTGGGCTCTCTATTCTGTTCCATCGATCTATGTGTCTATTTTTATGCCAGTACCATACTGTTTTGATTATTATAGCTTTGTAATATAGTTTGTAATCAGCAAGTATAATACTTCCAGATTTGTTCTTCTGTCTCACGATTGCTTTGGCTATTTGTGTTCTTTTGTGGTTGAATATTAATTTTAGAATTGTTTGTTTTTTATTTTTGTAAAACTGCCAGTGGAATTTTGATAGAGATTGCATCTGTAAATGGCCCTGTGTAGTAGAGACATTTGAACAATATTAATTCCTCCAATTCATGAACACTGAATATCTTTCCATTTATTTGTATCTTCTTCAAGTTCATTCAACAAATTCTTGTAGTTTGCAGTGTACAGATCTTTCACCTCCTTGGTTAAATGTATTCCTACATATTTTATTGTTTGTTTATGCTATTGATAATGGATAATTTTCTTTATTTCATTTTCAGATAGTTTGTTGTTAGAGTGTAGAAAGACAGCTGATTTCTGTATGTTGATTTTAAATCCTGCAACTTTGCTGAATTTGTTGATTAGTTCCAACAGTTTTTTGGTTGAGTGTTTAGGGGTTTTTTAATATATATAAGATCTTATCATCAGCAAATAACCACAATTTTACTACTTTATTTCCGATTTGGATGCCTTTTATGTCTTTATCTTGCCTAATTCCTCTAGCTAAGACTTCCAGTGCTAAGTTGAATAAGAGTGGGGAGAAGAAGCATCTTTGTTTTGTTCTTGATCTTAGAGGAAAAGCTTTCAACCTTCTCCCTTTGAGTATTATGTTAGCTGTAGATTGGTTGTATATGGCCTTTATTATGTTAAGATATATTCCTTCTGCACCCAATGTTTTGAGTGTTTTTCTTGTGAATGGATGTGGTATGTTTCTACTTATTATAGTCATTTTTATTGCAAATGTTTTTCTGTAATGTGTGCTTCTATCTTGCCTATAAATCCACTGGAGGTACATTACGGAAAGGAATGTGTGTGTGTGAGTGTGTTTATGTGTGTACTTGAGTGCATGTATGAACAGCCTGTGGGTTTGGCAATGTGGATATTTTCTTCCATATTTCATATATTCTCCTATTTATTATCTATAACTATCATTAATTTTTATGATAATAATATACTTGCCTACTTATAAACCTCCTATTTTACTTTTTACCATAGGGTATAATTTGTCATCTTTTGTGTAATATATTTAATTATAAAACTAAATGTAAAATAGTTTTATTTCCTGAGTATAAATTTACTGAATATTAAAAACAAGTCCGTGCACAGAAATTATCCAATGACTGCCTTCTTTCCATTTGAGCAGCTTTAACAAAAGACTGTGTTGTATCAATAATTTTATTTTTAAATATCAGTTAATCATTCAGGATAAATTTTATAAAGATTATAAAGACTTAACAAACGTCAGGTCCGTAAAAGTATAATAGTTTATTTTCTCTCTCTAATCTGCTCACTCAACATATATGCTATTCTAACATATATTGTGAGTTAAACATTGAGAGGGACGTAGCCTAACATGACTTTAGGGAGAGTAAAATGTGCATATCTTGTAAACATAACATAGATAAATTCTTATAGGAATGAAAAAATTATTATTGGAAAGGAGGAAGGCTTAGCATGAAGGCTATGTGTGTCCCTAGCTTTCTTTGTCACATTATGTGAATTAGGCTAAAGATAAGACCAATAACACAGAAGTGATGAAATTCTTCCTCGTGAAGTTCTCTGACACCAGGGAGCTACAGGTTTTACATAGCTTTTTGTTTTGGGTGATTTACATGGTGATTGTCATGAGGAATCTTCTCATTACTATCCTTGTCACCTTGGCCAATGTCTTCACACCCCCATGTATTTCTGCCTGAGGAACTTATCATTTTTTAATGCTTTCCTCATTTTGATCGCAGCTCCAAATTTCCTTGTAAACTCTTTATCTCACAGAAGACTTTTTTCCCCCCAAAGCCCCAGTAGATATTTGTATGTCATAGCTGCACATCCTTCTAGTTGCTGTATGTGGGACGCGGCCTCAGCATGGCCAGAGAAGCGGTGCATCAGTGCGCGCCGGGGATCCGACCCCGGGCCACCAGCAGTGGAGCGCACGCACTTAACCGCTAAGCCACGGGGCTGGCCCAATAAAATTAAATTTAAAACATTTTAAATCCCTAAAAATTGGGAATAAATGTAACTTTATATTCAATTTTTAGTGTAACTACAAAAAATAATTTAAATAACTTCAAACCATAATAATGTGATGAGCATTTCTAGTAAGATAAACCATAAGGGCAAAAAAAAGAGTATACAATAGAGATTACAAAGAAACAAAACAAAATAAAAACTGTAAAAACAAAAAAATCAATTACTTTTGAGATGTGAATGAACTGTATTTCAGTATGATCAAAGAGTAAATAAAGTTATCATTTATAGAAATTTCAAGTATACATGCAAAAGGAATAAAAACGTTTAAACATCATCATTTTGCAGTAACTGCTAAAACTATTAGGTAAAAATAAGAAATTTTAAAATAAATAATACAAATTTAAAACTCCTGAACATAGTATTTAAACTTACCATGACTAAAAAACAGGTTGCAAGACATTATGTGATTCCTGATATGCAATAAAAGGTACAGGGCTTTATCTGAATTCTTCTTTGCAAAACAGTGGAACTAGAATTCAACCAAACTTTCACTTTACAGAAAATATAAGAGACAGAGGAACAAGTTCATTGACTGTATAATGGTAATAAAATAATCCAGAATGTGGGAAATTACATAGGATGAATGACTTATCAATAGAAAAAGACACAAAAATAAAACATGAAGGGGAAATGTTGAAGATTAAAATAAACATAAAAGACAGGTCAACCAAACTTGTGGCCCTTGTTTTGATTCTGTTTTAAAGGAATTGATGGTACAAAGAGAGTTAAGATGCAAGAGAAATGATTTGACACCTAATACTTGTTTGACACTATTAAGAAAATACTGTTAATTTTATCGAGACATATTAAAATAATTGTTCAGTTGGGGTTTGGGTAATTGGTGCTTTAGATGAGTCAAAATGGGGCATGTATTACTAATTGTTGAAGTTAGCTAAGAGGTACATGAGGGATCACTACCGTTTTCTCTTTTCATTTGTAAATGTTTGGAAATTTTCATGATTAAAAACAAACGATAACAAGAACAAAACCATAATTATCTCTTCTTGTCAAAGAATTTCTCCTCTTTTTAGATGTAATAATCTTAGCAAGTTATCTGAAGATTTTTCGTCATAGTTTGCTCATCTGTGAGAGAAATATATTAATTCTTCTCCTATAGTGTTGTCTGAAAGAAATGTACCATGCATATAAAACTTTTTCAATATTGCTGAGTACATAAGTACCCAGTATTTCTCATTAATGACTATGCTATTATTTTAATAATTTATTTTACTTTTTTTAAGTTGAAATTGATACTTTGGCTATCTCTAATTATTTTACTTTACATCTGGCCTTTGCTGTTTTCCTTCAACAAGTGTTCAATCTCTAACGGTTTTCTCAATAATTATATGGGCAGTAAACTTTCTGAAATTTTGCTAAGAGAATAGATTGTAAAAATTCCCATGAAACATACAAAAAATTGTACCTATGTGAGGTGATGGGTGTGTTAAATTTATTTTGGATATATATTTGGATACATATTTTATATATATATATAAATTACTGCATTGTACACCTTAAACTCACAGAAAGTTATAGAAAATTTTATGCCAATTATACATCAATAAAGCTTGGGAAAAAATTTTCCCCCTCCTCTTTAAATGATAAATTACATGGTTTTAAAATTATTTTCTTTAGGAATATTAAGTACATTCCCCACTATCTCATTAGTAATTGGATGTTGTGATAGTTAATTTTGTGTGTCAACTTCATTGGGCCACAGAGCGCCCAGATATTTGGTAAAACATTGTTCTGGGTATTTCTGTGAGGGTGTTTTTGGATGAAATTAACATTTAAAGTGGTGGACTTATTAATGCAGTGTTTCCTCCCTGATGTTGGTGCATCTCATCTAATTAGTTAAAGCCATGAATATAAGGAAAATCTGACCCTCCCCTGAGTAAGAGAGAATTCTTCCTGACGGTCTTCAAACTGGAATATTGACTCTTCCATTTGATGGACTTTTTACTGGGTATCAGCTCTTCCTGGTTCTACATAAGCCTACCACCCTTAAAATTCAAACCAGGACGTCAGCTTTGCAGATTTCGGACTTGCCACGCTTTATAAGCACATGAGCTGATTCCTTACAATAATAAAAAAAAATTATCTCTAGATCTGTCTGTCTATCTATCTATCTATCTATCTATCTATCTATCTATCTATCTATGCTGTGAATGGAACTGGAACCCTGCTCCCTGGTCTAACAGCCGAATCTAGCAAATATGCTGCATATGCTTAAAGTCAGTACAGTAAAACTCCATGCTGTACTGTGAAACAGTCATGCAGGCCTCATAAGCCTGTGTCTAAATGACCTTGCAACCCCTCATCTCATGACTAAAAATGCCGGTAGGATGAATCAGCAACAGGAAGACATCATGAGTACCTCGTTGTCACATTTCCCAGTTGTATTTCTTAGTGACTGAGGGAAAAATCGATGACCCTGGTCTTTGTCTCCTTCCACACATAGATGACATCAACATTACAAGCCTTGTTGATGTATAACTGAAAAGCTCTTGTTATCTTTGAAGTAGATGACTATCAGATATGTAAGTCCTTTTCTGCATGTACACTGCTTTGTTACAAGGCATATAAATTGTACTCAGATCTGTAGACCTTGGAGCAGTTCCTCAGAATACTCTGTTGGACTGTTTCCCAGGATTTGATTTCCTCACTTTGATTATCAAATAAGCTCCTTTATTTAACCTTTACCTAGATTCCTTATTTCAGTCCACAATACATATACACATATACACACACACGTATACACACATATATTGTGAAAATTAATAAATAGAAACTTCATTTCAAATGGAGTCAGGAGACCAGAATAGTGAACTCTCATGTATGTGCTACTCAAAGCACACTACAGACCCCAATAGGAAGAGAATTATCTTGCATCTCTGGCAGAAAGTGATACTATTTACTACTGCAGCAGAAAGAAGGAAGACATTCTTCCTTGCCCAGCAACAGCTCAGCCAATGAGAGACTGCCATAACTCAGCCAGTGAAAAGCCAGCACACTTTGAACTCCCAGTCTCCTGGATGAACTCTTCATTTACAACAGCCACTCCCCACTTCATAAAAACGTTTCTCTACTTTGTTTCTCCAGATTTGTATATGATTTGCCATAAACTGTATGTCCTGTCTTGCAATTCTTTGCCATTCTCAAATAAACCCATTCTGCTCGTAAAATAAATGACTGTTTATTTGTTTTAGGTGAACATTATTTTGGTGGACTGTATGGAGATACAGAGAAGACCCTTGACAACTCTATGGCTGATGCCCAAATGGATGTGGTACCCACAGAGCCCACTGAGCTTACTGCTTTCTTGCTGACTCTGGAGTGTGAGTTGTATTTCCTGATCTCAAGCTCTGTTCTCTTTGTGTTTTAAAGCTCTCCAGGCCTTATTCAGGATCTGTCCTTTCTGTTAAAGGCTTTATTCCATTCTGTGACTACTCATTTGGCCTTTGGTCTGATTTCTTTTGTAATCAGGCTAGTGAAATTGTGCTGTTCAGCCTTTCACCTGAATTCTTCAGAATTAGGCTGTATCTATTGGAACAGTGCAAGCCTGTGGCATGATTCCTTTCAAAGCAGGATGTTCCTACTGCAGCTGTGTTGTCCTTTGGTTTGATTCCCATAGGAACTGGGCTGTTCTATTGAACATGTGCATGTATTTGGATTACAGGCTGTTTAGGAAATATTCTCTTGCTCTACATGAAATCTTCTAAGAAATGGGATCCCAGTCACCTAAATCATTTAAAGGTGCCTCCCCTTCAGGAGTCTGGCCAGTTTTGTGTTTAAAAACCCTCATCCCTCCTCATGCATAAGTCTAACCAAATGGACCAACTTAACCAAAAGTAATTTAGAACACCAATGGCCATCATGGGGAAGATTTGAACTCCCCAAACTTACTTTTCTCAAAACCAATTTGGAAATCCATAGCTCTGAAATTTCCAAAACTGAATGGAACACCTATTCGATTGGTATTTTGAGGTTTCTATACATTACCGGGAGCGTAAAATTTTCTCTCTGCAAAATAAAATTTTAAGATTAACTGAGGCAAACAAACAATTAAAGAAAGACAAAATGGCTCTGAAGACTCTCTTTCCCCTCCTCCATCACCTTTGTCTCTGGACACATGGCAGCCCCTATGTGCTCAGGCCCCAACTCTGGCACCATCTTCCTCCTTTTCTTCTATGCCACCTATGCCTCCTCTGTACCCTCAGTTTTCTTATTCTATTTCTCTGACGAAACTTCCCTTTTTCCCTAAGCCTCTCCCCACTTTGTCCTCTTCTGAACCTAACAGAACGTGCCCATTTAAAGTTAAGTTTTCTGAGAATCCAAACAAACTTCAAGTCTCTTATTTCCCTGGACTGAAGCTCAAATTACAAGGGGTGGTTAAATAGTTTCCTAAAGTTAATGAGGACCCACATAGTTTTTATGAAGAATTTAATGTCATTATTCAAACTTACCAATATGGTTTTTCAAACCTATATCAGTGAGTCCACGTGCTTGTTGGTGAGGGTAAAGCCAAACATTGGATAAAACTTGCCTGATGGGAAAATCCTGAAAGGGATCTAGAAAGACAAACCCCTACCTTTTCACAAGAGGGTAGATCACTCACTGGGAAACCCCACTAAGCAATTACAGTAGCTTTTCCTAAGCCTGTTCATTGGAACAAAATTCAGGCTTCTGCAGAAAAATATGATGAACCTGTTTATGACTATTATAATCAACTTCAGTTTGTTTTTAGTTTTTTAAGTCCTGGCTTTCCTTAAGACATTTAACACACTTGGGTAACTTTTAACACTATGTTTATTGATGGGCTGAACCAGGACCTTTCTCTTTTAGTTAAAAGGTCCAGGGTGGAATGGGAAATTATATACACTCCAGATTTAGTTAATTTAGCAAATCAGTATTTTTGCACCCTAGATGAGTCATCTAAAAGAAAGATTGCCAAAGTTGTTAATCTTCAACTTCAGCAAATCAACTCCCTACATGAAACCTCATAGTTTCTGCTATTATTGCATAGAGCCAAGACATTGGAAAAGAGATTGTTATAAACTTAAGTGTTTAAGGCTCTTTCAGTTTCTAACCAGTATTTCCAATGTCCTCTTAATTCCCAATGATGGGCCTCTGAAGAACTACAGGGGTTCTTCCCAATACTCCCTTTTAATTGGCTCAGAGAAACAACTCTCCAGATTGAGAATGAATCTCTCTCTGTTTTTATTGACACTGGAAGTACACTCTCAGTGCTCAACCCCAGTACTACAAAGCAGCCTCTGGCTCAGAGTACTAAAATAGTTCAAATACTGTGGTGTCTAATGAACCTCAAAATGTTTCTGCCTTTGAACCCATCTCCTTTTGTTTAGGCCCTACAACAGATATCCACCATTTTCTCCTCAGACCACATTCATTAATTAGGTTGAGACTTATAAAAATATCACAATTGTATCTCTTTCTCTCAAAAGGGGGAAATAATTCTAAAATTTCACAGTAACAATAAAAATAGCCAACCAAGTGAATTAAATGACCCTTCCGAATATTTTATTTATTTCATCTCTGATCGTATTAGAGCTGATTCTGGAGACACTGATTATTTGTCCCTATCGAATCATCTACCATCATCCTTATTGACAAAATCTCCAACTAATATTGGCAAAATTCACAATGCACCTCCCGTCAAGATTAAAATAGATCTCTCAAAACCTCTTTGCCGAATTAATCAATACCCTATAAGTAAAGAAGCTTTCAAGGTATAAAGTCCATAATAGATTACATGTCTCATTATCCCTTGCACTAGTACCTATAATACTCTTAACTTACTTGGGAGAAAACCCAAGGGCCAAGGGAGGAGGTTTGTCCAGGACCTCTGAGTAATTAACCACGTTGTTATCCCTCAATACCCTGTTGTTTCTAACACTCACACACTAACATCGGTCCCAACTAAAAGCAAATTCTTTACTGGAATTGATTTATGCAGTGCATTCTTTAGCATTCCAGTTGATGAAGCTAGCCAATGCCTTTTGCCTTCACTTGGGAAGGAAAACAATTCACCTGGACAGTAAAGCTTCAGGGTTTCACTGTGAGTCGTTCTTATTTCTCACTAGTCCTTAAGGCTAATCTGGATGATATAAAGTTTCCTAGGGATTCTACTTTGTTGTAATATGTCAACAATTTGTGTTTTTACTCTCCTTCCTGAGCTTCCTTACAGAAAGACAGCTTCCACTTGCTAAAGCTTTTAGCCTTAAAGGGACATAAGTTTGCCAAGAAGAAATTGCAGTTCGTCCAAATCAGGTTCAATATCAGACCAAGTGCTACACCTAGATTCAGATAAGCTTCATGGAGTCCTAAGTTTCCCAAAACCCAAAACTATGCATCAACTGCAAGGTTTTCTTGGGCTAGCTGGTTATTATTGAAATTGGCTTCCAAATTTCTCTTTTATGGCTAAACTTCTGTATATTTTACTAAAGAACAACAACCTTAACCCCATTTTATGGGAAGAAGAGGATGACATAACCTTTAAATCCTTAAAGGAAAATTTAATGAATCCACCTGCCCTTAGGCATCCCAATTACCAGCTTCCCTTTTTCCTTTTTGTATATACAAAGGGAGGAAATCTCCTTGAGGACTCATCCCAAAACATGGGACCATCATTGACCCCTAGGGTATTATAGCCAACAACTGGACTGTGGCAAGGGGATATCCCCTTTGCCTTAGAGCCATTATACTCTTTTGACTAAGGCCACCACGGAAATAATTATGGGATCCTCTTTAGCCATATTCATTCCTCATGCAGTAGAAGCCCCCGTGAATTCTTGTCACACTCAACATTTTTCAGTCAGCTGCCTCACCTCCTATGAAATCTTTTTGCTAACTTCTTTTCACAGAACTCTTTCACATTGTAATAACTTTATCCATGTTACTCTTCTCTCCTCCATGACTGTTAAAGCCCCTCATGACTGCTTAATACTGACAGATCACCTCCTGATCCTTCATGGTGATCTGAAGAAAACTCCTTTGAGTAATGCTGACTTTTCATGGTTCACTGATGGTTCTTATTTAAAAGGTGACAACGGTAAATATAGTGTTGGATATGCAATATCGACACCTTTGATGTAACTGAAGTGACACCTTTCCATTTGGCTACTACAGCTCAACACACCAAATTATATGCACACACACAGGCCTGCAAACGGCAGGCCTAGCAAAAGGCAAAACTGCCAACATCTATACTGATACACTTTCAGAGAGGCTCATGATTTTGAAATGTTGTGAAGACAACCTGTCTTTCTTACTTCCAGTGGAAATAAATTTAAAGATAGCTCGTACATTCAGGAATTATTGGATGCTATACTTTAACCTGCTACTTTAGCTATTATTAAGATCCCAGGGAATTCTAAATTTGACTCTCTGGAAGCTAAAGGGAATCACCTTGCTGATAGTTCTTCAAAGAATGCTATCTTAAATGAACCAACAGCAGCCAAACTTCTGTCACGGTCCAAAGATAACTTAGAAAAACTGGCTAGAGAAGCCAAACAACCAGCCTCAGAAAAGGAAAAAACAAGGTTATAAATTCAACAGTTGTTGGTTTGATAAAAAAAGAAGGCTCTGGTTCAGGTCAAATAACAACTCAGAGCTACGAAAGACTCTAAAATTCCCAGTCCTAACCACTGTACATGCATTAAGCCATTGATCTACTAACAAAACCGTAGCATTCCTAAATTAATATTTGTAGGGAAATATTAATAAGGCCACAGAATGTGCTTCCTTGACTTGTCCCATCTGTCCAAATACAATCCAGAGAAGCTTATATGCAATGCTTTGGACATCTTAAATTCCCTAATGGGCCACTCAAGTTTTGGCAAATGGATTTCATATGGTTGCTCCTGTCTCACAGATATAAGCATGTTTTAGTCATGATATGTATGCTTTCTCACTGGAATGAAGCCTTCTTTGTAGACGGGTTACTACCTCTTCTGTGGCTAAAGTTCTTTTGGAAAAGATTATCTGTACGTGGGGAACCCCTCTTGCACTTCATAGTGATTGAAGAGCAATCTACCAGTCAGGCATTCTGACAAATCTGTGTTACTTGGTCAATTTTACAACACTTTCCCTGCAGTTACCACCCTTAATCCTCTGGCTCAATCGAAAGCACTGACATAACTAAGACTCTATTGTCAAAATGTGTGAGACCCTCCAAATACCTTGGCCGAAAGCATTGTTGTTTGTCCTTCTAAATCTCAAATCCTCCCACTTTGGTACTCTTAAACTCTCACTCTTTGAGATAGTCATAGGATGCCCAATGCATTTAGCCCCAGCCTCTTGATCTGCAGCTGATAAAAGGAGATATACTTCAATATTGCAAAGGCTTAATTGCTTTTATCAAAAATAATCATGTTTTGCTAGAGCAATCTTTTCACAGTGCACTTCCAGGAGAAGACCTTAAGCATCACACCCTGCAACCTGGAGATTTTGTGTATTGGAAAAGTCACCTCCAGAAAGATTCTCTTCAACCTCACTGGAAAGGCCCCATCAGGTAATGTAAACTAACTCTTGAGCTGCCAAACTCCAGGAAAGAGACTCTTGGATTCATGTGACACATCTAAAGAAAATACCAAATCCTGACTGCACCTGCACATCATCTGGTCATCTAAAGGTAAAGATTTCCCAGAATTGAAGCAAATGACCTATAATGAGGTAACTTTCCAAAGAATTCTGGACTAGATCTGTTCCTCCCTCCTACCCATCCTTATTACTCAAATGTGACCTCAGTAGCTTTTCAATCTATTCATTTTCCCTCTGACATAAGACACAACACCCAGGAAAGGTCTTTCTTAGAATTGAGAGAGAAAAGGCCACTGAATCTGGAAAAATGTGACTCTGGCTCAGAAATTATTTCAGAGAAAGATCTTGATCAAAAGTGAGGAATGTGAAAATTAATAAATGGAAACCTCATTTAAAATGGAGTTAGGTCCAAAAAGAGAACTCACACGCATGTGAGTTCATACATTTGCACAATATAGACCCCAAGAGGAAGAGATTTACCTTGCAAGGAAATGATATTATTTACTAACCCAGCAGAAACAAGGAAGAAATTCCTCCTTGCCAAACAGCTCAGCCAATGAGAGACTACCATAACTCAGCCAATGAAAACCCACTGCACTTAGAATTCCCAGTCTCCTTCAAGGTCTCTTTATTTACAACAGCCCCTCCAAACTTCATAAAAGAATGTTTCTCTTTTTTGTTTTTCTGGACTTACATGTGGTTCACCACTGACCACATGTCTAGAATTGCAATTTTTTGCCATTCTTGAATAAATCCATTCTGCTTGTAAAATAATTAGCTGTTCTTTGTTTTAGGAAAACAATATACACATATATAATATGTGTGTGTGTATATATATACACAATGTATAATGTATATATGTATACAATGTAAGTGACATCTGTATTAGTGTTCTCCAGAGAAGTGGAACCAATAGGATATATATATATATATATATACATATACATACACACATATATGTGTGGATTCCTTTACACACATATATGTGTAAAGGAATATATATTCCTTTATGTATGAATCTTCCTTTTCAAATGAATGTATTCAGCTTGATATATGATGAGCAATTTCTTTTAGTTATAAGCTATTATTAAATACATTTTTAACTAAACCTAATTAATTTTAGAATATTGTTAATCAAAATCTCAATCAAGAAGTTTTAAAGATCTTCCTCACTGTTTAATAGAGGCATAATGTTCTGCCCAGTGGATATTTATTGTGTGGAAGTTTATTCAACTAGTTTTCTATTGAGAGACATTTTCAATGTTTCCAGTGTACTTCCATTAAAATTGAAAATACAGGGGCCGGCCAGGTGGCATAGTGGTTTAGTTTGCGCGTTTTACTTTGGCAGCCCAGGCTTCGCAGGTTCAGATCCCATGTGCGGACCTACGCACTGCTTATCAAGCCATGCTGTGGCAGGCATCCCACATATAAAGTAGAGGAAGATGGGCACAGATGTTAGCCCAGAGACAGTCTTCCTCAGCAAAAAGAGGATTGGCAACAGATGTTAGCTCAGGGCTAATCTTCTTCACAAAAAAAAAAAAAATGAAAATGCAATACTGAATTGAAGAAGTCATGAAGATGGCTTGTGCATAATCCTTTTATTCTTTTGCCTGTAAATCATCAGGCAGAAGTAACAATTATTAACCACTACAACTTTATCTTTCCTTAGTTTATCCTGAGGGGTAAATTCCAGTTTCCTAGTAGAGAGTGATAACCAAATTGCACTAAAAAATAAGTAAAACCCATAGTTATTAAAGATATGCCTAAATAAAATTATATTTGTTTAATAAGAGAAAAGGATAAGCCAGACAAATGAACAAATAAGATAACTGAAATGATATTACCAACTAGATTAATAATATATCAAAAGTGAGCAGCAAAGAAAGATATTTCTCCAAAACATTTAATGGTTGTGAAACAGTATGTGTATAACCTGGTAACTTGACAACTGATTAAAAAAAATGATAGGGGAAATTAAACATTTTTCAACCTTAGTGAAGTTTTTGAGTAACATCTTTTCTTTTTCCTTCTTTCAAAAATCAATAAATCACTTTCTAGTTCCAAGACAAGATAGCATAGACTCAATTTTCTCCACTATTCTCCTCTAAATAGACCTAAATAATTCAACAGACAATCATAAAAGGATGACAGAACTTGGAAAGATGGAGGTAGACTGTCTCAGGACCTCAGGACATGAAGAATGACACTACAATGTGTTGCTTGGGTTTCCTTTTTGTCTTTCATGTATCTTAGACTCTGCATCAGAGAGTCCTATACCCTGGAATGGCTAATAGTCATAGATAAAACAAACCACATAAAACACAGAACCATAACCACAGAGAGCCTGTTCTCTCTGGCCAAAAGTCTGGGGAAAGGAAGCTCCGCGGGGACTTAGTGGTGCTCAGTGGGGAGATCCACTCTGAGGAACAGTAGCAGGCGGATCTGCTTGTAGCACTGGCTCCAGTAGAGCTTGGCGGCCAGCCTATGCTTTACAACACACTCCCAAGCGCAGTGTATTTATCTTTCCAGAATAGCAGCAACAGTAAAACCTGAGTGGTCCAACCCATTCCATGCTTCACAGCTTCCTATAAGAATAGACCAATCTCCCTGCTGCAGCAGCAACAGCCAACCCCAAGCAGACTAACACATCAGCTTCCCCACACTAGGCAGCAGCAGGTGGCCTCTCCACCCGCAAAGGTAACATCATCAGTCTCAGTGTCTCCTTGTCATCCAGGGTCTGAAGAAGATTCAGATCCAGCATCATACACCCTCCACCTGATGTTAGAAGATAAACCAAGTCTGGTGTCTTCCAACCTTGTACCTAGTGACACCAGGGGTCTAGCAGGCATCCAGCAGGAGTTCAAGCAAAAGGGAAAACTAATTAGGTCAGAATAGCAGTGCAAGGGCCCAGAAAATGAAATTGTCATTGAAACTACAGCCCACAGAATTACATGGTAAACCTAAAGAGTGTTCACCTGCTAAAATAGATAATTCAAATGGGAACAAGAGTATTCTAATATAACATCCAAAATATCTAGTATATAATAAGATATCAAGAACCAAGAAAGTCACAGTTTGAATAAGAAAGAATAATCAACTGATGCCAATACTGAGATGAATCAGACAGATAACTTTCTAAAGAGATTTTAGATCAACAACTATAAAATTGCTTCAATAAATAGCTATGAGAATTCCTTGAAAGAATAGATAATATCAACAAAGAAATAGAGGTTATAAAATAAAATGAAATGGAAATTAAATAACTGAAAATTACAATAACCAATCCCCACACACACATATACATACACAAAATTTTTTTGATGGACTCAATAGTACAGTAAGAATGACAAAAGGTAGAATCAGTGAAATTGAAGAAAGATCAATAGACTATACTCAATCCTAGCACTAGAAAGAAAATAAACTAAAAAATAAAGAAAGAAAGCCTTTTTAACTCATGGTAAAATACGAAAGATCTAACATTCAGCTCTTTGAAGTTCCAGAAGAGGAGAAAGTGTGTGGACTGGAAAAATATTTGAAGAAATAATGGCTGAAAACTTCCCAAATTTGGTGGAAGACCTAAATCCACAGGCACATAAGTTGAAAGAACTCCAAGTATGATAAACTCACCAAAACATCATAATTAAATGTTTGAAAATTAAAGGCAAAGAAAAAATATTGAAGGTAAGCAAAGAGCAACAGCACATTACTTAAAGGGGAAAACTAATTTGAATGGCAGTGGATTTCTCATCTGAAACACCGGAGGCAAGAAGAAAGTAGCACAAGATTTTTCACATAAAAAACTGTCAATGACAAATATTGTATCTGGCAAAAATCTCCTTCAGGAATGGATGGTAATAAGCAGATTCTCAGATGAAAGAAAACTAAAAAAAAGTGTAGCTAACAGATATATTCTTTAAGAATGGCTACAGGAAACTCTCTAAGTAGAAAGGAAATAATAACAAAATGAGGCTGGGAACTTCATCAAAGAAAGAAGAACAAC